CATCAATTAGGAGAAATAAAAACAAGTTTATAACCTGTGATGGGGTGTACCAATTTGGGTTACTCATCATGGCCAAAAAACAGACAAAATCTCACTGCAAGTTTGGCGTTCTATTTTTAAAACATATTACTTAGAATCAAAACTTTTCCTGAAAATGAACCATCATAGATAGTCTTTGACAAGAATCAAGAAAAATTCTAGATCAGAGATCTGGATCTTTAAATATCACGAAAAAAATGTCAAAATTAATATTGTACCTATTGTGGTAGCGTGACTTTTAATGTAAAGGGTGAAATTAACACTTGATGAATATTGAATTTTCTGGTGAAGAGAGGAAATTTGACTAGACAAAAGTTTCCTGTTGTACAGTATGTCGAAGGTTACCGTGATTCTCACTAAGTTAGTAACTTAATTGTCAAGGGATATCAGTACAGAATTTATCCTGCAATAAGCCCAGACGGCTCAAAATAATTTAATATTGGGCTTTTTACTATACAGTGAAATAGCAATTGTTGCTATATAGTATTTCTACTGAACTGTAATAGATATGGGTGGGCTTATTGCTGGATAGATATGGTACTAGTTTGGTTCATTATCAATCTGAATTTATCCTTAAGTGTTACTTTTTCGTTGTGGTCGCAAAACATAATCGTGTTGGTGTCACTATCAAAGTGTTTAGTTCACACTTTTTCTGTTACTTATGTCTAGAATCGAAGCATTAACCATTCCTCAGGGAGCCATGGAGTGCCAGGGATATTCGTGAAGTATGATCTCAACTCTCTGAAAATTCGTGTACGAGAAGTTCACCGACCATTTGGACAGTTTCTCATACGATTAATTGGTATTGTTGGAGGAATATTTTCTGTATCAGGTGAGTTCATTCTGTATGGAAGAATAATTTTCTGAAACATGTCGGACATATTACATAATATATCACATAGCATAGTTAGTTTATTGCAGTTTCCCTTTTGTAAGTCCATAGTTGTTTGGAATGGCCCGATCTTTTCAGATGAAGTCCATCTTTTTGCTGTTGTTAATGTTTGTGTCATAACAATAATAATAATAATAATTTGAGGATTTTATATACCGCTTTGTCACAACATAATTCATAGGTCGTCTCAAAGTGGTTCACAAATTATTATCCGTGATCATCTGCATGTCTGTATGTTAGTAGTGTATACCGGTAAATGTTCACTGCAGTTTAATTTTCACCCTTTTTTCGCCTGCCGTAACGAAATTTATCATGAGAGCGAACACTAGTAAACAATGCATATTATTAATAAGTGTTTTGCGAAATTAATACTAGGTGCTTATGGATTATTCTGGTGAAGCACAGGCACTAGCCTCGTCTGTCAATACACTTATAATATATAGGTATATTGACAGAGGAGGCACTATTATAGGTATATTGACACAAGATGAGGCTAGTGCCTGTGGGGGAAGGGCAAAAGTTTGACTGGGTGCAAATTTCCCGAAATGCAGTAGTTCTTTACCATACATCTTTGTTGAATAATAAAGGTACGTGTATTACAAAATGTTCTCATTGGTTAGCTGGATCGTATGTTTGTGTATTTTCAGGTATAATGCACTCCCTGGCTGGTTTTGTAACAGATCTGATATGCTGCAAATTCAAACTAGGACAATACAAGAAGGAAAACTTCAGCGATATCGCCGATTCTAGTTCTATTACGGACAATTTTCCCACGGAAAACATCCCTGGAGTTAATTTATTGGCAACAGACAGCTGATAATAGCGATTATTAATAAGTTCTATTTTTTATTATTTAAGTACAAACAAGGTTTTTACTGTTAATGAAAATTAAGAAATATTTGGAGAAAAAAAAATTGTGAGTACTTGCAGTACCTACAGCCATTCCTAACAAGTGATATTTGCTAGAATTTTAATTTGCTAAACATGTATTTTCAATCAGGTAATATACACTGAATCTTTAAGATAGCCTTCCAATATTTTTCTTAGTATGTTGGGGTAAGGGGATGGAGCTTAGAAGACCAAACAGAAATGCTTTTAGTTGCAGGGAAGGGGGGGGGGGGGGGGGGT